AGTAAAAATATATATATATATAGAAATAGAATATAATTTTTTTTGTTGTTTTTAAAAAAAGACATTCAGTATCACATCAGCGGATTCTGATCAACTTCCCGTCCGTCTTCTGCAATAACCGCTGCTCGTTAAGGCAAAACGTCAGGTTGGCACCGTTACAACAGCTGAATCAAACTGGCTGAAGGCGAAGCAGAGCAGGCAGCGTGCTGGTGGCAGCGAGGCTGCTTCTCCCGCACGCTGACCGAGCCGTCCTCCATGCCGAAGTACACCACCTCTGCCATGTCGATGAAGAGTCCCGTCTCCACCACACCTGGGGAACAAGAGGTCATGCGCTGGTTAATGCCAGAGCCACCCCATTGCTTGAATCCTCTGCTCTGAACATGTTTTTGTTTATTAAAAGGCGCTAATGCCTCCATCAGAGGTTTGGAAAGAGGTGTCCAACCTGGGTGATGTTGCATCAGCCACACACGGAGCCTCCGGGAAGTCTTTTCCATGCGGCCACCCCCAGAAGAAACTCTCTCCAGAGACTGAGAAACAACTCCCAAAGCTCCCCCTGACGTTCACACCACCACAGCCACCACCGTTACACTAACACAATCACGAGTGTGGCATTTTCAGCCATCTGATGACCCACAGGAGCAAGAGGAAGCTATACGCAGCCACAGTCTTACTCACTTTGCCTTTAAATGCATCTAAAAACCTATCCTGTTAGAGAACACCTGGATAACACTTGTTCAAATGTTAAGACACAGCAGATCTGATGCTACCTCTGCAACTTGTAGCCCGTTTGCAAATGTACTTTTGGTCGCATTTAATTATAGGGTGCTGCTAACTTCACTGTGATCACTGAGACACAGCCAGAGGCCAGGAAGGTGGAAAGAAATGGAGGACAAGGTCTACCACAAGCACAAGGCGGCCACAGCCCTGCTATCACCACTGTACTCGGGCTTTAACAGTTCCGCTCATCCACTTTTGGGTAGGGAAGATGCTCTTCTCCCCTTAGCAAGCCCATTTCTGAGCAGCAAATGATGCAGAGACTATCTCCATACCAACAGGATGGAGCAGGTACCATCATTTACCCCTTCATCTCTTGACCAAAAGAGATAAAAGGAAGAAGTCCTTGCAGAAAGGCTGTTTTGTTTGCAAACAGCTTACCCAGCCATTGTTTCTCTCTTGCACAGAAACAGCTCTAATGATACAGACATTTGCACAGCCATGGACAGCAACTGCATTAGGATACAGAGCGCTGCACCAGGACAGCCCAGACCAGCTGTGGTTACCGGTTCATTTGGATCGGTCACTGGTTCATTCAGACTGCTCCTGCCGAAGGTCCGAACCTGCCATCTACTGCTGGCTGCGAGCAAGTGCCAGGTAAAATTATTCAGACCACAAAGACACTGGGACAAGCCAAGGCAGAGGTAGCCCCCTAGCAGTTTGCTCTGAGAGCAGGAAAAAAGAAAATGGGTATATTTTCAGTAAATCAGCCTTATATGGAGCACTGAGGGAAGCAAAGCCACCGAACAGAAGCAACTAGAAGTTACTGGCGATTCTTCACCCAACCTACACCCTCGGCCTCTGCCTGGCCTTGTGTTTTAAATCATGGTGCCAGGACAATATACTGCCACTTTGTGGGGACATCGAGGTTTCTGCAACAGGATCCCAGCCTGTTCCTGCATGCTGTGACAACGCACAGTCAGTGAAGACAGGTGTGCTATGGACTTCAGGGGCAGGCAGGTATCTGGGATAAACTCAAAGATAAAAGATACAACAATATGTATTCAAAAGCTGACCAGACTCAAGAGCAGACTTTGCCAAAATAACCAGACAGGACATCTAGATCTGGCTGAGCCAGCCTATCAGCTGCTTCACTGAAGTCCAGGCAGTGCCACTGCCCCTGGGCAGACCTGGACCATCCAGAAGCAGCTCTGGCCTGAGCAGCAGGTCTCATGCAAGGCAGGAGTCCTTGCAGAGAGGCTGTTTTGTTTGCAGTGTGATCGGCCACTGCTTCTCTCTTGCACAGCAATAGCTACAGCAACAGCTAGGATACGCTGCACCCTCACAGCAAGCTGAGCCCGTAGGACTACACAATGGTAATGGGATGCAGAGCTGTGAGCAGCTTCTGGAAAATACTGTAACACAGTGCAAGCTCTCCCTCCAGAGTCCACCAGTGTTTCCATTAAAAGCCCCTCTCTAAATGGAGAGTAAGAAAGAGCACAGGATTGGCGTGCCTAATGGAAAACAGTGTCCGAAGGCACCTGGCATCACCCCAGGTTTTCACCACCATTCGGGAATGCCACTTAGGTACAGTTGTACTAATTCAGCTGATGGATCTCTCAAGTAGAAAAAAATGTATGGACCCGTAAGAAGGCAGTAAACACACACACATTTCCTCCTATCTAGGGGAGAGCTCCCACGGTCAGGGTTATCTAGTACAGACCAAGACTTAGCCAGCTTTTGCTTTTTTTAAAATCACAGACATTACCTGGTATCATTTTTATAGCGGTGTTCACTTTACTCCATTCATGAACCTTGTCAAACTTCCAGTCCAGGATGAAGTTCCCATTGTCTGTCACCACGGGGCCCTGGGAATCAAACACATTTGTCAGCATTGAGAGCTCCTTGTCTACCGAGCACAGCCAGGGACTGTCACAGCCTCTCACCAGGAGCAGCCGTCCCCACTGCAACAGTTTAGAGAGAGTCATCATTCAAGTAAGTCATGGCAGCCCACAATAAGCCTGTAAGTAAAACCATCGCTCCAAGGCAACTGCTCATTCCTCATTCTCCTGCGTACAGATAATCATACAGAAGCTGGAAACAACGATGCGATTTCATCACTGCAACAAGGGATCCTTTCCACAAGAGTAAAGCTACATTAGTGTCCCAAAAAGGCTATCACAGGCAATTGAAGCCAAAATAAGACCCTCTGCCTCAGTGATAAGAGCATGCTGCCAGATGCCATGGGGACGTTTTGGAGTTGAAGAATTGCTGGACTTCAGCGTCCCAGACATGCCCAGCACTCTCTCAAGCCCAACAGAAGGAGCAATTGGGTCCTTTCAACAGAGCAGAGGCAGCTGGGGCTGCAGACACAGCATTTCAGCAGCGCTGAGCAGGGTGTGCAACCACACGTGCCAGGAGGGACCAGCATCCTCCGAGGACACGTCTCATGCTGGAGCAGCACTGATGTACATTGCCCAAGTGAGGCCGGTCTCAAGTTCACAGGGAACAACTGGTTTGCTCTTCTCAGGCACCCAATGCAGTCCCTACAGCCTCCTGGGATTAGACGCATTAAAACCAAGTATTCGGCTTTTGGGCGTTAACCCCAGCCGTTACTGCAGACAGCCCCCCTTTCCCCTTGCCGTGCGACGTGGGCTGGCGAAGCCCCACTGCCCAAGTTAGGATAGGACAGCGGCAGTGGAGACAAAGCAGCTTCAGTTTTAACTTAGCCTGGCCCTCTGTGGTACAGAGGAGCCTGGGATGGAGCATGAGCTGCCCCCCCAACTTGAGACCCTTCAGCAGCGCAGACTGCCCTCCAGCCCCCCAACATCCCCGCAGAGCAGCAGGTTAGACCCAGACTGGCAATCCCTCCTCTCCCTGCTCAGGGATGCTTGCTTTAGGTGACATAAGCCAGAGAGGCTTTCCATGAGCAGCCTGAACACTTAAACACACGGTTCATTAACCAAAGTATAATTAGGAGGAATTACACAAGATGCCACTCGCGGGAGTGAAAGCCCAGATTTAGTTAGAGGAAAAGCCAGACCTCTCGTCCTCTGTTTGCCCTCGTTCAGGTGGCTGCTCTGGGGAATCGGGGCTGGTCAGAGACACGTACCGCTTTGCTAACAGCCATCCGCAGCTCCGCAGCGCCTCCGAAGTTTTTGGTCAGGGCTCTGGTGACGGGGACGTAAGCCATGGGGATGACTTCGATAGGAATTCCCTTCTTCCATTGCTCCCCGAGGCTCTTTGATTTTTTCCTGAGGACACAGTTTGAGGTAGGATTAGCGTCAGACATTACATTGCTAACACCATCAACATTAACACATTACCTCTTGCACACCCCTCTGGCACAAGGCTCTGGAGGGAACAGTGGTTAGTTCACATGTGTACACGTGTAGGAAGAACCAGTTTAATGCACGATGCTCTATTCACTCATAAGCCCTGTTTTGACATGTTTTGGACAAGCGGGACATGAGTTGTTTTTTCTACAGCCCTGCGGCTGTATGTACAGAAGGGAAAATTTACTCCGTGCTGGCAATCACTGAGCTCAAAGAGCAGAGCAGCCATTTCTCCACAAGCTCTGCTGACTCCTAAGCAGGCTTGCTGAGTTGAAAATTAAGAAAAAAAGCTAAATTGAATTGCTGAAGCACTGGGAGTCAGGCTCATTTCCACCTATTCCTGCTCCCCTGACCCACTGGAAGAACACTAATGGCCTAACACAGAACCATCCGAATCCTCCCACGGGACAGAGAGGTATAATGAACAGTAATATTTTTACCTGTAATCAGCAATAACGATGAAGCATTTTGCATATCCTGCAACTATCTTCTCCTGCGTCAAGCAACCACTGCAAGCGGGGGGGGGGAAATATAAAAATCAGAAAACAGACTGCTCCTCAGTGTGCCTGATGGTCCTAAAATCCAGTCCCCTCCACCACGTTCTTGCCGGTTTTGGTGCTGCCGTTGCCCCACGCTAGAAAATCTTTCCCCTACCCCATCGCTTTATCCCCCTTGTCCCTTGCACACACTCTGTCAGGAGCCATCTCCCACTGCAGGTGCACGCACGGCCCTGCACAGGATCCCACCAGCCTCTCCAGCCCAGCCCTGGAGACATCTGCAGCCAGAAAAGGATGGTCAGAGGCCACTGCCACCAGCGCCACACACAGACAGACAGCAAGGCTCACCCGCCACCTTTGATAAGGTTGAGGTCAGAGTCTACTTCATCCGCTCCGTCGATGGCGACATCAAGCTGTAGGAAGAGGAGAAACTTGGGCTGGAAACCTCTCCCATGCAGCGTCAAGGTGCTGCTCTTGGCGCAGCTCAGGAGGGTGTCAGGTCCCAAGCAGCAGCCAGAAATGTCACTAAAGCTGGGACCACCTTGATGCCAGCCTGACCAGAGATGAGCATCTGATCAGCCACCCAAGGATACCAGCCCCAGCTAAACCACAGGCATGTAAGAGCAGGAGAAAGAAAAACCAAAACCAACTGCTGGCCTTCAAGGCACATCATTTCAGCCTCTAGTGTTTTTAGCTAAGGGGTGAGGGGCTCCTAGGGAAAATCTGGGTCACAACACTTCAGCAATGCCATATCCACATCTCAGGCCAGCAAGCCTCAGCCTGGAAGAGGTGTCAAACACTCGGAGGAAACACAACTCGGCAGCCTACTTGCCATCTAAAGGAACAAGCACTAAGCAAGACTAAGGCTTGGAGAAAAGAATAAACTAAGCTAGTTCTCGCTCATGTTCAGCAGCGTGGCTGCCTAAACTCTCGTCCTCAGGGGAGGACAAAGGAGCCTGATGCTTTATGAAGGACCAGGTTAGAGGAAGGTCGGGTGAGGTCTCACCTCCGCAGTCCCACTTACCTCTGGATGTCGGTCCAAGTCACTTAGCGTTAAGCCGTTCTGCAGGATCAGCTGACGGGCCTGTGCATCAAGAAGACAACAAACACCATTTACCAGCGGCAGGAAAGGAAAACAGACTCGTGGTGTCATTCCCCCGGCTGTGGCAAGGATGGAGTCTCCCTGGGAGAGCTCCACTGCTCCACCCTGAGCTGGTGGAGAGGCTGCAGCCACCAGCGGAAATGCAGGGCAAGGAGAAAACGATGCTTCCAGACCAGATTATTTTAATCAAAAGAAAACCCTGCTGCTGATTTGAACTAAAATGCTCAGATGGTGCAACAGGACTCCTGGGTCCAGGTCTCTCTGTACTAAATAGCAGGAGGCCCCATCAGCTTGGTGGGAATTACTTGTATCTAACCATTACAGCAGATATGGGATTTTTCAGTTGTGTGTTGTTTCACCTTGGACATCATTCTCCCTCGCACCCATCCAGCACCTCTGATTTCCTTCAGCTGAAAAATGGGAGCAAGAAAATGAAATATTTACACCACAGCAATGTGGGACTAACAATGAAAATATTTTTCATATTGGAAAGAAACAAAAAAAAGGCAAAAAAGAAAAGCACAACTCATGGAAAAAGTGTGGGAAGCCTCCTGAAACAGCTCTTTGGTGGCTCTGATCTACTTTCACCGAAGTGGCTGTGTATTTCCCTCTAGTGGCAATACAACACAGAGCACCCGGAGTTACCCTCCACTTGGTCCGGAGTTACCCTCCACTTGGTCGGTCAGTTTAAATGGAAGTTCAAGCTTAGAGAACCTTGAATTGGTTCAATTTTCTGTGTTACAAATCATCACCTGAGTGAGACTCCCTCCTTGCACGGACTCTGCTCATGTCTGAACTTCCTACCATGGTGTAGCTAGTCCAAGAAACTGCAGTGTGATAGCCTGGATCAACTTATTCCCCTGAATTTTACCCACTAACACTAACAAAGCGCATCAGTCGCATGTATTGGCATCCCAGAAAAATTAAGAAGAACTAGCAGGTGGTACTCCTGGCAATGAGATGTGATCTGAATCATTTATCATGGCATTTCATAGCATGCAGTTTTGACACCCATGGGCTGTGGGCTCTTGATCTGTGCACTAGGATTGCCCTAAGGACTCACAAAATTAAAAGAATAAAAATCAGTGGGTTTACATTCATTACATGGTGTCCATGTAAAGAGGTATCAGGGATCTGGGAATTAAAAGCATTGAAAAACACTGTGCTGCACATGCAGGCCAGATCCTGAACAGTGATCAGAGTCAGCAGTGTGGAAACGAGGTGGCTCTCTTCAGGCTCTCTGCTTGCAAGGCAATGGGAGCAGACCAGCAGACACAACTGGGGGAAAAGCAGCAGTAACTGCGCAGCACTTGCCAAGAACGGTCTCGCTCTGTGCTCTTGGCACATGTCCAGGTGAAAAGAAGAAACAATGCAAAAGCCAAGGGACAGATACTTACCCCGGCTCTAGCTTTACTGATGATGATGGAATAACCCAACCTGACAACAGGGAAGGGAGGAGAATAAAAGCCCACTGAAACCAATTCTTCCTTGCCAGTGACCTCAGGCAGCCATTTACACCTGTACGTAGTGAAAATAAGATGCTGTTTTGCTGACCTGGGAATGCTTCACTCTGAATTGGTTGAGGTCTTAGAGGCTGCAAAAGATACGAGGCAGCCCCATGTCTGGGGGATTTTGGCTCCTGCGGATGTACGATCTCTCTCTTCCCTTTAACAGCAACCTTTTTGTTTTACTGGTAGGAAACTTAGAGAGTTACACAAACTATCCCAACATTTCAAGGCAGGGCAGGCTCCAGCCCACGTTCACTACGAGAGCTTTATCAATATTTTCTGTAAGACCTAATGACTTGACTCAGAGCACTTTTCCTAGGTTCAAATGGGACATGGTATCTCAGGATGGGGATCATTTTAGACAGATCAAAACAGATCAAAACCAGACTATCACCACAGTCTATATATGCAACAGAATTACTGATATAGGTTAAAAAAGAAAAAAAACTAGTTTTCACTTTTTGCCCTTTGCAGTAGCTTGTATTATATCCCAGGTGGCCACTGGTTGTTTGCAACAGCTGGGAAAAGAGAGACTCCCATCTCCCCACACTCACACTTAAAGAACATCTGCAGGGTAAGAGGATGTTAAGTTTTCATAAGATTTTAGGAAAATTCAGGCTGATCTCTATCCAACCTCCAGCTCGAAGCAGGGTCAGCTACCAGGTTGGTCAGGGCTTTACCCACTCATGTCTTGAAAACCTTGAAGGACGGACTCTGCACAGCCTGCCTCATGGCTTGATTGTCCTCACGGTGAAAAAGCTGTGGATCCCGAGGTCCACACCAGGACCGAGGAAAGGACACGTGCCCAATTCCCAGACCAGGGCATTGCCACCCAGCCTTGAAAACCCTGCAGGTGGTCTTGGTCCCCACAAACTGGTGATGTCACCTCTCCCTGCCCGAAGGGGACAAGGTGACAGCTGCTCCTCTGCAGCACATTCCCACCTTAGGGAGTAGCGGTTGAGAGACCAAAGCCATTTGCCTGAAAGCATGAAGGCAGCTCAGAGGCCTCCTCAGCAGCTCTGCGTTTCACCACGAAGCCACGTTCTCCCTCTCCCTGCAAACCTCTCAAAGTTAGCTTAGTATGAATCAATCCCTGCAAAAGTTGCACAGCAGAGGAAAGATTAAGCTGATTTCTCTTCTGCAATTTCTTATAAAAGCCAGTTGATGCATTTCAAGTTCCTCCTGAAAACACATGAGCTTGCTATTATTGCTTGCAGTGTGATTTTTACAGCTTTCAGGGCTTTATACAGAATTAAAGGAGACAAGCGTCTCCAGTGAGTTTTGTGTTATGAGTCTGGTTCGGTACTAAACAGCATTTTTCTGTAAGCAGGATCCAGATCAAGGCACGCACCAACACCGACATAACCAGCGTCACCACACTGGTTCAAAACACGCCTCCTAGCACTACGGCACACCCAGGTCAGGGTAACACAGCACCATCACCACCGGCTTCATGAGGCCCATCTGCAGGCTGCATCACGGCTGCTTTCACTGGTGCTTTCGGTTAACTCACGCTGCAGTAAGCCAGTCCAGAGAGCGGTGTGGTTGCCTCCCACAGCCAAAGGGAAGATCCCCTGTGTGAGTGTTTGGACTAGCAGAAAGCAAAGGAGAGAAGCACTTACCTGGAAAGACGTAGGGATGCAGACAATCGTCAGGTTCTCCTGTTTAACCCTCTCAGCTGTAGGAAAAAAAGCAGAAGCCTCGGTTTGTTCATTGCAGAAGGAAAAAAACACACCAACTTTCACTTTAAGAAATCTCCGTTCAGAGCAGCGCCTTTGAATCACTGCAATTACTTGCTTGGCTTGCAAATAAGTCAGTCAGGCTCAAAACGCAAACAGGTGCCACCCTGCATAGGGTAAGGCTGAGTTTCTACAGTCAGAGATGTTTAAACACCCACCCTGGCTCAGCCCAGGACACCACGAGCCATTAACCTTTGTGTCTCCAGCAGCAGAGGAGCCTTGTCAGCAAATCATCACCTGGGAAATTAGCCCCACTCCCCTCTCTCACTCCATTAGACAGGTTTTGCCGCACTCCTTGTAAACAGAAAGCTTCAGCAGCTGTCTGAAAGGTTTTCTGGCTCGTTGCCTTGGGGACATCACATTCATTTATTATAAAACATTTAAATATATGGCAGGGAAAGGACTAATAAAATACAGTATTCCATTAAACGGAAGGAAATATTTCCTCCCCCAGGTTAACCTCAAACGACTAAAATCTATTACTAACACATCATTATGGACAAAATGTTATTTTAGTAATTACAATACTTAGGCATAAGCCAAAAGTCTGAGAGTCAGCAACAGCTTTTGCACCAGAGCACACGGGCTACATGCTTCAAGGTAACACGGCTGCTGGAAGGACTGAATATGCACTACATGAGGCTGTATGTTGTTACAACCCTCATCCCAGTGCTAACGCATTCATAGACATGAAAAGTCAGAATTTGCAGCCTGGAACAGGCACTCCACTTTAAATACTATACCCATTTATTTAGGGACTGATTCTGTGTTAGAGCCGGGAGTGGTTGCAATACTGAGACAAACCCAGAAAGCTGAACCGACCAGCCAAATAAGTGTATTACACACGCAGCATGTGGTGAGGTGGGTGCCAAGGGGCAGGCACAGCACCATCTCTGCTGTTTCCCTGCAAAGCGAAGCACTGCACTGTGCTCAGACCTCAGCCCCGCTCGCCCGTGGTGGGCTGGGGACAGCTCTGCCCAAGGGAGCTGGGGGTCACAAGGGGACTTCCCAGCCACGCAGAGCCACCCAGGTGGGACACACTGAACTCTGCTTCCCAACGGCAGTACCCCTCGGTGTCCGAGCAAGCCCCGCATGAACAACAGGGCTGATGATGTACTCCAGACCCGTCACGCACGGCTGCTCTGTTTTGCATCCAAGGATAGCGAAGCAGGACGAGGTACAGCACCTCCACAAGCAGATCTGCCCTAGGGCTGAGAGTGCCCTGCGAAGGAAACTTTAAACCTCTGCACCCTCTCTAATGAGGCGTGAGGATAATTACCCTCACATTCACTTTGCAAAAATGCATTTGCCTCACATTTTGCTGAAATTTTCTGAATCACACCTTGAGCAAACTTGCACCTGGGGCAAGCAGATAAACCTAGCTGTAGGGTATTAAAAAAAATGCAGCAGGATTTTGTTCCTCATTTTCATTACACCTCAGCAGGACCCTCAATGTTGAATAACGTGGATGTGAGCAGGCAGCGTCAGCCACATACAAATGGGTTAACGCAAGCAGAGCAGCTGCATGGCCCAAAGCCACAAAGCAACTTAGGACGGGGCAGAGCTGGAAGGAAATGGAGGGGTTTAGCTCCAGTTTGTAGTGGGGGCCAGTAAAGCACTTTGCCTGGCTGTATGGGGAGAACAAGTAGCAAATCATTACCTCCTCAGGACTCTCTATGTAATAAATTTGGAGCACAGAACCGAGTTTTAACCTTCAGCTTCAAGGAGGACACGGCAGTTGGTGAACAGACCCGACGCGTAGCTCTAAGTCAGCATCCAGACAATTTAGCCTGTTTTTCAAGTAGTTGGGGCAGCCAGACAAGGGGACTTTCTGCGGTGGGAGGGACACGAAGGGGAGCGTCCTACCTAGTCGATGCACTGCATGGACAATTGTAGAACCGCTTCCGATCCCAAGAACTTGATTGTTCTGCAAATCAAAGAGAGACAGAGGAGAGCTGTTACTGGGGGCCCTGCACAAGGACTTTTCTGCTTTTCCCGGTAGACTGGACATTATAAACACATGCAAGAGCACCTTGCCCAGAGATGCACGCTGACACACAACGTCTTAGCATGCTGCAGGCAAGGAAGGGAACACACTGCGCCAGTGAGGGCACGACCACTGCCTGCGGCCAAGGGATTTTAAGCAACTCGCCCTCACCTTAGAGGACATGTGCTTGCTAAATACCACTCCGGTCTGACTCTCAGGGTGTTCAATGCACACTCACTGCTGGTTGCTGGCACTCCATGCACCCTTTCCTGCCGGAAAGCTGGGAGTTTCAGACAATACCACAAAGGAAGAAGTTGAAACAACCTCAAGATAACATCTCCCAAGGAAGCCGCACAGTAAAAGCATGGGTTTGCTGCCAACGGTATTGTTAGTAAACAGTAGAGGCACCAGCGGCCAAAGCAAAGAGCACAGCAGCCGTTCCTAGAGTATAATAAAAACCGCTCTCCAAAACAGAGTATATAACTGTCTATATGAGAGTCCAGCAACACATTTGAAAGATGGGAGAGCCTGCCAGCATATGCTGAAGATCACGTTTTAACCACAGCTCAGCCCTGGCCTTTCTCTGCTTACTGTCTGGTTTAAGAAGGACCACTACTGTCTCATCAGTAATACAGACACACTTCTAAAAGGTGCTGCAGGCTGAGGGTGGATGGGTGCAATTGTCCTCTGCAAGAGGATGCTCTGTATGTAAATCTCTGTTATTATCAGCTCAATCTCCCACCCACTGAGAGCTACCTGCAGCCTCTTGCACACTTCCAATTTTCAATGTCCTTCCCCTTCTTTGGCTGGGATCCAAAGCTTAAATCGACTTAAGAAGGCCCAATATCACTACAGAGACTTCGGATGAGAAAGACTTGAACCCAGCCAGAGATGCAGGCACAGAGCTGTTGTGCATTATCTCTTGGACATTAGAGAGGTCTGGAGCTCTTTCTCCATGTGCAGCAAATCCAGAGTTCAGCAGTTGTGGAAAAAGCCACACCTGCAGCATTTCAACCCACTGAAATCGTTTGGCACATAAGCTTGCCTGGAAAGGTGGAGCTCAAGGCAGGTCACGCGCCCCTAGGATTAATGATTTCCCTTGCTTCTGCAAGTTAAAAGCTTAAAAAACCAAAAGTTCTCCAAAACCCAGCACACAACCAGAGACCCGGCTTATACTTCAGCCCTCACTAATCACCATGACTTTGCAAAAGACAGGGAAAGCAACAGATTGCAGCTGCACGCCTGCAACGTTGCCAGCAGAAACTAAATAGCTCCCGAGGTTTCTCGGTTTCACCTGCCCGACAGGCAGAGCCAAGCGCAGCCAGCCAAGGAAGGGGCAAGCGAAGCTGCACAGAGGCTGGCAGGACACAGGCAGTACCGGTGTTCCCAAGAGACTTGTTTCGACCTGGGAAGAGGCATTTTCTTCTCTTTGCCCTTATTTCTAGAGGGTGGGACAGCTTCTTGGAGCAGCTGGATGCCCTAAAGGGATGGGGAAAGCCTCAGCATCAGCCACACCATTGTAATGAAGTGGGAAGCACTCATAAGGGTCCCACCCCATCATCGCTGGCTGGCGATAACCTTAAAGGCATTTATCAGTGAGGAGGGGTGAAGCACCCTCCCTCAGGCAGTGGCAAGACCTTGGGCTAAGTGGGTTTTCCAGAAAAACAGTCTAAACTGGTGGTGTCACAACCCCTGCCTTACTGCGCTCTTACCTCTCCCTCCTCAGCTCCAACCCCAGCCAGAACAGGGGCAAAACCAGCCAAAAAACATCCACTTTTAAATACAGGGGCAGGGCAAATGCTGGCGAGAAGCAGAGCACAAGGTCAGTGTGCAAGGGGCAGGTCCAGCTCACGGCACCAAGGAGCAGCACCCCATGCAAAAAAAAACCATTTCAGGTTGTTTACTAAAACTCCAGCAAACAAAACCAAGGCACTGAGCCACAGCACAGCCAAGGACCCACATATGGACTCGACGAGTGGAGTCAGCAGCGACTACAGCATTTTCTCAGCTAATGCAAGGGCCTAGAGACGCTGCCCAACATTACAGATGCTGACAAGGCAAGGCACATCGAGTGGGTACCAGCAGCACCACATGGCCTGGCCGGTCCAACATAAGTTTCCAAGACTAGGATTGGGCAAAGAGCAGGAGATAAATACAGTGCAAAGCCCAAAGTTTCCTCTTATTAATCCTCAGCCCTCTGGGGCAGCAGGACCTACGGCTCCTGCCCATCTTCTCCTTTCTAACAGAGATGCTAACAGGGCCTGCCTTCAGAGGTGGTCTATAAACGCAAAGCCAGCTCTCCCCAAGCAGCTTATGGCTCTAAAGCCCCGAGCCGCGTGCCAGCCCCGCTCCTCCAAGCCGTCATGGCACCACAGCCCACAGCTTTTGAGGTTGGTCATCTCAGTGTCCACTCCAGTACTGGGGAACTCTGCTCCTACAGCTGCCCGGGGACAAGTGCTGTGGGTAAACACACCAATCTGGCTTTAATTAAAAAAAAAAAAAAAAAAAAAAGAGAGGAAAAAAGTTCTCCTCTCCTAATCCCCCCACCCACCCCCAGGTTTACATCTGCTATAGGCTGCATGAGGAGCTGCTGTGCTGGCACAGATAGGGGTGGGTGTGAAGGACGATGGCAAGCGAGGAGCCTGATCTAGTACCAGTACCAAGCCCCCAGTGCCACAGATTTACGGCACAGTTAAGCAGAAGAGATCTGTCCAGCAAAACCGAACCCTGAAGTCAGTGGCATCTCCCACAGGTCCCTACCATGCAAGGGAGGGAGTCTGCAGCTTTGCTTTCGGCGATTATGTTACTCCCTCCGTTACAGCAATAGCTCCAACAGCCAAACACAAAACTATCTGTTACAAACAGCAGCTGTGCCTTCCCAGTGCAAGCTGAAGGAGAAACAGGTTTTCTCTGACAGCTGAGACCATCTAACTCCTTAGCGGTGACTCTAACCTGCTTCTCCATCATTGCTTCAGGCCAACTTGCACAGCAAGCATTGAAATATTACCCCGGCCGCTGTGTACTTTACTCAATTAGCCTCGCTAGCCAGGCCCTGAACTTTAATCAGCTGGGACATGGCCAGAAACATGATCCTCAGTTTGCTTGACCATAAACCAACACAAAGGCCTTCTATTTCACTAGGAAAAGTCCAAAATTAAGAGTCACATTTTAGCCCAAATCAAAGGCGCACCCAGCTCGTGACAACCCACAGCAGCAGTTGTGCCTCGGCTCCACACCTTGCGACATGAAGTCCTTCCTCCTGCAACCCCTCAATGCGCAACTTCGGGGCTTGCTTTGGGTAAGAAATGGGGGTTTTATGCAACTGCCAGTCCATCCCCCAGGCTCCCCTACCCCACAGACTGTTTTGAGCGCGTTGGCCTGGCAGAGGGGTAGGTCTCAGATAGCATGTGGCTGCACTCTGTGCAGGCAGGTACAGACTGCTCAGAGGAAGGAGAGGCTGCAAAACAAGTGACATGGAACATCAGGGAAGCCATCAGCAACTGAACCTCAAAACGCCAACCCAGCAGGGGGAAGTGGGAAGGAAAAGGGAATTTTTTTCCCCCCTGACTGCTAACATCTACCTCTTCGGCAGTGAGACTACGCCCATTTCATCACTGCAGTTGCAAAAGGGCTTGCACAGCAAACATTGTGATAAACCACTGCGTGACTTTAACCGTTGATCTTCCAACCGTTCACTATCAGGTTGTGCCAAACGTCAAGCAGCTCCAGTCCTATTTGACCTTCAAAGGGTTGATTAAAGCCCTTTGCTGTGTTTCCCTCCCTGCAGAGGACAGGACATGACCCCCTGGTTAGGGGCTGTTGCTCCTCACTTGGGTGCTCAGAAATAGGGTGCAGCAGCAGAGCACTCCAGACTTGGACAAAGAAGCAGGACACGGCGTTAGCCTGAACTCCCACCACAGCCCAGCTTGCAGGAGGGTGCATGGTTTAAGTTTAGAGGTGCAAGACGTTACTCCAGACTCGGGGTGCACCGTGCTGAGCCAGGCAAGGCACGGAGCCGCTGCCTGGGAAGCGTGCGCTGTGCAAGCACAGAGACTGGAGGAGAAAATTATTTTCCTCCCTTCTCTCCAGGCTAAAAGAGCGCAGTCCGAGGAGGAAGAGGCTCGTCAGAGCCCGTCTGTGCACCCCAGGGTCCTTCCTCCGGAACTGTCCGTGCTTTGGAGGGAGCAAGGGGTCCGTGCACCCCACAACCCATCCGTGTACCCCGGGGCCACTCTGTGCACTGGAAGGGTCCGTGCAACCCGAAGCCCATCCGTGCACTGGGAGGCTCCGTGCACCCCATGGCCACTCCATGTAGTGGGGGGACCCACGCACCCCGAAGCCCATTCCTGCACCTCAGGGCTACTATGTGCACTGGGGGGTCCCTGCACCCCGGAGCTGCTCCCTGCACCCCGTGGCCATTCCGTGTGTAGGGGGGCTCCGTGCACCCCGGGGCTGTTCCATGCTCCGGAGGGGTCTGTGCAGCCCGGAGCCCATCCGAGCACTGGGAGGCTCCCTGCACCCCATGGCCACTCCGTGTATTGGGGGGGTCCC